TTTTTTCAAAGATATAAGAGTACTATAAAAGCATAGGGTCGTGTTTTGAGCTCTACCTACTCTTTACGTCTCTTCTAATATTCTAGCAATGCTTCGCTTACTATGTGGCTCCACTTTGGCCGAAGAGTTTTCATTTCACGATGATGATATGTGGATGTTTTTGCTATTCTGTGCTTTTTATAGAGCTGAGATAGACTGTGAATTTGAGAGATGTGTAAGGGGGAGGTGAGGTAGTAGTATAGTAGCTAGGTTGATGAGATGGTTGAAATTACGCTCCAATTATTCAAAAGCATGATTCTTACTTTCTTATGCTTCTGGTGATAAAAGCTCGCCACCAGAAACTGTGGCTGACTGTGGCTAACAGCGTTGAAGAAGAATCCTATCAAAATAAAAATATTCCCATTTTAAACATAAAGTTGGTGATCTGAGTTTTCCGTTATTCTCTTAGCTTACCAATTCAAATTAGGAATCATTGCGTTCTTTAACTTTTGCAGGAGATTTACGCGTGCAACAATTCTTGATCGGTAACCTTCTCAACCTATTTCACCGATTTCAGTCCTGATTGAGATCTTCATTATATATTAATTTTCAGAAATTACTCTAGTGTTCATTCTATTGTTTGCTAATAATTCTATAAAATTTCTAAGGATGAGAAAAACAGTATCATTAAACTATTATTTATTTCTACAGGAATATGAAATATATCCCGTTTTCAAATGTAATGTTCTATTAGTACTAGATTACAGCCATGAGCTAGTCACTCTATCCATTTGTGGCTGATAGCAGGTGCTATGAGGTGTTTTTGCGTCACAATGACATATTTTTACTCTACCAATGAAATATCGCAGAGATCGACATAGGGAGAATGTAATTTAATACTGTTCTGACGTTATTACTATTTAGCGATAACTCAGTGACGTCTGATACTTTAATAAAGCTCTTATATGGAATCAGTGCTTTCGCTTTTTATCACTTTACACTTACATAATGCTGTTCAAGATTTTATTGTTAACGAGTGGTGATCCATAACTAATTCCGATGTTAATTTAGTTAACTCGATCTAACAGATTTAAATCTATCGCAACTTTCTTATCCTTTTCCCATCCCTGATGCTATTTCGCTTCCTCTTTTGCTGTAGCACCAATATATAAAGACTTTTAATACAGTTAGATTTACAAAAATAGAATATTTTGCAGGTAAAGGGCCTTAGCAGGAACGTCCTGAACTCACAACTTAACGATGGGAGCATCAGGATCTTCCGTGGAACCTCGCGAGGGCGAAGTTGGCGGAGGTCGACTGCGAGAAGATATGAGACTCTATCATCTTGTTGATATGCATGGAGGGGGAGAAATGATGACAATGATGAGGTGAGTTCCTCTTTAGCAAGTTTTTGATAGAAGAAGATTTTTATACATTTTATGTACTCTTGTAAAACATTTAAACACACTCACGTCTATTACAAAAGCTGTTAGCTAAAAATTTCCAAGAAAGGAAATAAGTCCCAATTGTTTATTGAATAGAACTATTGTTGTGATAGTAGATTAGGCAGAGTATTACTGCTAATAGAGGTCACTGATCCGGATAATCGACCCTCGTACGTGCATGCATGCCTCCTGCCTTCAAAAATCTCTTTTTGAAAAATATTCATTCTCATTTAGATATGCCAAAGCTACAAATGATTATGCATTTGTCGATCATTACATCAAGACACGCATATCAGAGTTTCTTCTTAACAACGAAAAAGGCAAACTGTTTGCCATAACAGAGCTGGTAACACTTCGAAATAAGGTGAAACTGTTTCTTGCGTGATGCTGAACACTGCAGAATAATCTAAGAACTACAACAGGAGAGAAATGCGAAGCTGGGAGCATTTCTTCGAAAAAAAGGCAAAGGTAAAGCTGCAGTGAATGTGCTGGAAGGCTTTGATCAGAACGATGCAAAGACGGGAGACCTTAAAAAAGGTTGGTCGTAGTGATAAACGTTGTTTGAAACTTTTTATGTTGCTCATAGGATCAAAGAGTACTATTATCGTTTGTAGCCCTCAAACTTCTCGACGGCGGAGGCAAAGGAGGCAAATCTGAGTCAAAATATCGAGAACTGAATTGGAAATTGGACGAGCGAGGTGATTTAAATTTCCTGGTACTCAGATATTCCAAATTCATCAATAAACTGATCATTTGAGTTGTTTCTATGATTTAATAAGGCTACCTTTCTTATCTCTAGAGCTGCTAACATCCCAAAAAGCCTTCTAGAACTCTTGTAGGTTCTATGGGAGAGACAATTATCGGTGTTTGTCTGTTGCAAGGAACCACAATCCATAACCTATTGGCGCTACGCATTCTGGATTTCTACCCGAAACTGCTGAATGATATATGCACATCAGAGGACTACTACGGTAAGTTCAATGCTTTTGAATATCTTTGAAATGCGAAATTAACCACTAATGTGATATTCATTTTACAGTAGGTAAAAAAAA